ACTCATTATCGATGTCTCCTCTCAAAAGATATATCAAAGAAATCAACATGATCCACTACAACAGCTAGTAATTGGTATGTATCTAGGAAGCCTCGTGTCCCTAAAGAACAGACTGAATGCCTTCCTGTTTATTTGCAGCCTCTGTGTGAGGGCCCAGACACATTAAAGGTGATAACTGACTCACAACAATTGTTTTGTCAATTACAGCCTGTGTGCTGCACCACAGCAGGCATCCAAACAGGTCATTTGCGGCAGCAAAAAAACCCTTAAAAAAAAAAACGACTGTGGCTCGGTTGCTATGTTTTCCGTTGCTGAGGAAATTTGACATAGAAGCAAGGTAGTTTGACATGCAAATTACTGCTTTTGGTGCGTTTGCAGCCGTACAGCTGGTGTAATTCAAAATGAGGGCATGAGTCACTTGTGGGGTTTGATTTCTGCTCTAGATGTAAAATGGTACCAAGCCTGTTTTTTGTTTTTTGAGTGAGGAATGCAGTTTGAATGTTTGTTTATCTCGATCATGACTGACAATATTTGATGGACGTAGCTTGCCGACTGTTTAGACAATAGCCTGATGCGGAATTAGCCGCTGAAAGCCGAGGGATTGGATTTATCAGCACTCCAGCGGAGTTATGGCGGGTGGCAGCTCCGGCTTGCAGGAGAAATACTTTTTAAAAGGCATCTGCCCTCCTGTCCGTCTTCCAACACTCTCCCCACACTAATACAAAGAGGTTTCTTGGCTCACCGAGACACAATCTATCCTTCTCTCCCTCTTCCTGACCTTGCAGTGACCCCTGCTACCCATGCCTCATAGCACTCCTCTGAAGCCCGGGGCTATTAGCTGGTTTTCCCTCCTGTGTCTGAGATGGTAGACCGTCTCTTTCAGGAAGAGACACGGAGGCAGAAAGATTAGAGTCTGATTTGTTGTGACTTTAGCAGGTTTTGTTCTTGCCTCAGTAGTTCATTCATATTCCTTCCAGGAATATGAGGGTCTTCCTGTTCCCTCTCCTTATGTTTTTGGGGTCCTGTTGATTTTCACAGGAGTACTTTTTCATCCCAGTGATTCCCCAGCAATATGTTACCATATGGCTCAGTTTACAGCCTTGATTTATTCAAAGCCTCGACTGCCATTGCTCTGCTGTTATTCATCCCTTACTAATGAAAGGAGGGGAGGAATAAGACTTGCAAAGCTTTCATGGGCGGCACAGGTGTCAAATAGAAAAGGCCCCACAGGTGACGCTCTGCAGTGAAATGTCTCATAATGAGCTTCCTCGGCACGCACTGAGACACAGGAAGAAATATGGGATGTGGGGGAGAGTGACGGATGGCGAGGTGGGGTTAGATATCGTCGTGTGTGAGTGCACGCGCGAGGGAAGGGGGGAGGTGATTGAGGGAGGGGAAGCGAGGCGGCTTGAGATAGAGAAAGAGACGTTGAGGGATAGGGTGAGGCCGAGGGCAGAACAGGAAGCATGAGCACGAGCAGTGTGAGGGAGACAGAGATGTAAGGCAACAAATGAGACCAATAAAACACATGGGCAGGTTCCTTCGGGGAGTCACGGATCCTTGTTTTTTTTGACAGAGGAAACACAGGTTTGTCTTCAGTGATTACTTATTCCTCCGTGCCTCAATCTTTCCACGGTAATTTACCTCCAGAACAATTTATTTTCTCCCAATTCCTCAGCCACTAACATTGTTACCTTAAATATTTACTCCTACCTGGGTTATGTTTGTTTCACTATCTATAGACAGACCAGATAGACAGCACTGCATTCACTGTGACAAAGAAAAAAAATAAAATAAAATATATATATATATATATATATATAGGAGCTGAAAAAGCTATAAATAATTTCAGGATTGCAAAATTCAAAACATCATCGAGTGTACATTCACACAGCTGCAAGGTCGAGCCCCTTTTTGGTGTTTTATTCGCTGCCCAGACAGAGCAGTGCAACAGACCTCAAGAACCTTTTGTAACTTGTTCAGCACCACGGAGAGCTCCAGCTGCATATTGAGCAAGCTCCAACCAATGGGTGCAAGCCGAAGGCAAAACAGAGGAATAACTCACGTACACAAACTAAACGCAGTCTTTAGTGCTGCACACAGACCTTTTCCCACACAAACACAAGTGAGGATGGTGTGAAAAACAAGCCCATTGTGCAGCGCTCTCCGCCGCTGCCTGTAGAATCTCATGTAAAGTAGTGTTCAGAGTTTTGAAGGAGCCATGTACCAAGGCTGCAAACAAACAAACAAAATAAAATAAAAAATAAAAAAGGTACTTTAAATTTCTTTATTACTTTCATCTGAGAAAAACATGTTTATGGAGTTTAGATTAGTGCTGAGGCAGTGAATGCCAGCAGGTGCTGTTTTACATATATTCATTGCAGCTAGGCCTTCCTAGTGAAAGAGCAAACACGATGCGTCAGGATTTATGTGGCTCACCCACCTCAACTGAACAATCTGAACTGAGAGGAAAAAAAAAAAAATGTGTGTGTTATCCCGACAGCTTCAAAGCGGGCTGAGTCCAGTACATGAACCACAGTAGCACCGTGGCTCAGAGAGATGAATTGTCCGTTGGGTTGTTGCAAACTAATTAAAAGGTTTGGTCCTCCTATCTCTAAGTAAACATTCAGGTTGATGAGCAAAATAATAATCATCCCATTAGTCAGCATCATGGTCAGTCCCGACCTCCTCTCTCAAGACAAACACACACATTTACACATGCACGCTCATTTGGTCATGCAGCTCTGTGTAAAAAGTCTATGTTTCAGCATGTCTAAGTAGGTAGTATACAAACAGACCAGGGTATAATCCTATTTCTCATGAGAGCAGCCACTGGGAGAAGGAGGCAGGAGTTTGCCAGCAGCTTATTTTTACCCCTGTGCAATTCCACTCCCAGGGATTGGGGCGCTTCCACTTGTTTGGTGTTGAGGGGCAAGGGGGGGGGGGCATAAATTATTTAAACAAGTGTGTATTGCTGAAAGGGGCAAAATGATACTGAGACCATGGCTGCATGCAAAAAAAAAAAACAATTTGTCAGAGAGTGCCTTTAAAGTGATCTGTGCACATACGAGGCACTTAGCCGCAGCTCTTATTCAGAGCGACTTTGCGACACTGAGGAGGTTTGGGTTCGTTCTCTCAAGGGCACTTTGTTGATTGGTGCATTGTTCTCGGTCTTAAACTTTTTATCCTGCTGGTTATTAAACGGCCTTTCTGAGTAGCTCACTTCTTATAATCATGCAGATGCTTAGATGCAAACAGAAGGTTGTGATTCAAAGATATAAAAATTTTTAAAAAAGCAGATGATGAGATTTTAGTGCTTTTGGTCAGACTATGCAAAAATGTTCTTAATGTCTGCATCCATAAAGTTCCTGGACTGTTTTTCCTCGGCGCTTGAGTGTTTTATTTTGGACCGGGTGCATATTTTTGACCCCCTGGCTCCTCTCCCAGCAGCCACTCAGACTGTGTACAAAATACAAGGACCTTGCAACACCCTTGGCAATGCACAGATAGCAATTTTGAAAAAGTCTGCATCACTGGCTCGATCACAAAACTGTACACCTGATGGTAACATTTTTCTTTTTTCTTTTTTCTTTTTTTTTCCATGAAGAACGAACAGCCGGCTGAAAATCAGAGCTCCTCTAACATCCAGTTTTTGTTGGAGTTTCTTTATATGCTTATTCCTTTTCATTGTTTTTATATTTTCAAGGATTCTCTCCTGCCTCGCAACAAGAAATTAATTCTGTAATCTTTCCTGTGCACAATAACAAGGTCTCCTGTCTTGCCTGAGAAAAATTGGCTCCTTGCAATGCACCTTAGTGAATGTGTCCCACAGTATTTTACTGTAGCTTTGAGTGTTGCGCATTTAAAAAGGTTGCATGAAAAACACAGAGTTCAGTTCTACTGAGCAAATAGCACAGAACTTCCGTCGCTTTTTCACTCTCTTTATGAAATAGTGCTTTCATGCTGCCTTGTGTTCAGGCAGCGCTTTGAGCTGTACGCTGAACCATCACTAGCATCATGAGCTGTCGCGCCGTGTGAGGATTTCTGAAGAGGGGGACTTTGTTTTGCTGTCAATGACACAGTTCTTGGGATTTGAATGATTGGAGGTTACACAGCGGTGTGGAAAACACTGGTGCTGATATGCATTGAATGAAATCCTCTAACACACCTCATATGGGTGAAGTTCAGTAGAGAATATTTATGAATCAATAGAAATTCTTACATTTAATCTCACACAAAAGTGTATAATGAAAATGTTTTCTGATTTTTAACTGGTAGAGTGTGAATTACTGCATATAACAGAGCTGTTGTACTTGTAGCACATGATTAAGGATATTTTCATGTGGGTAAAGTGTGTTGTGAAACATTCATCAACAAAGACATGTTGAACTTGAGGTTCATTCTCATATAATGTATAAATCTAACAAAGGAATACTTCACATTTCATAGATGGTCATAATAACAAGAGTGTTTTGTATTGTAGGGAAGTACCTGAATACTTTTTGTGAATGTTAACCACAACTGGATACTTGATGTTTTGACCTTTTTAAGCACTTTTCTTTTTGAGATTGAAAAAAATAAAAATAATATTCACGTTGAGTGTTCATATTCAGTAAGATGTTCAGACTGGATTCAAGTTTTTGAAATTGCAAAAGTTGAATTTACCTCAGAAGAAAGTTTAAAGAGGAGAATTTAAAACATTAATTCAGATGATTTTAAAAGTAAAAAATACTTCAATACTATAAATTCAGTGGTATTTAAAACTTCATCACAATTTACATTTACAATTTGGCATTCAGTTGCTTATAAAACTCAAATGAACACGGCCTCTCTTTGCTTCCATAATACTATTAATATGAGGATTTATAGTTGTTAAAAAAAAGTTAAAATGAGGTCTTACTTATAATAAGTCTTTTATTTATGCACGATTTATGCAAACACTGTTCGCTGTGGTGCAATAAATGACTGACATGTGTTTTTCTCTGTGTCTGGTTTTGCAGACATAAACATGGCAGGCGAGCCCAAACCATACAGGCCCAAAGCCGGCTCCAAACGGCCGCTCTCCGCCGTCTACAGGTAAGATGTCTCCTCCTCCTCCTCCTCCTTACCGGCCACTGCTTCACACGCAAAAGGTGTGGCGCTCTTGTCATAAATATTAACTCTCTTTCAAATCCTGCTGCTCCCGCTGATGTAAATGTGGAGTAATATTTAGAATACGAGGATTCCTATTATGTTCTGTCTTTTTTCTTTTTTCTACTCCCCCACCCTCCTTCCTTCCTTTTGAACCTTGAATTTCTAATTGAGTTTTTAAAGCTCTCCACATTCCCCAGCCTTGACTGGAGTTTGTTCCGCCCAGGCCTGGAAAGCTCAAAGGAGTTGCTGTTGTTATAAGCATCATTAAGCATGACCCTGATTTTCTGGCCCGTACACATCTCCTGGTCACGAACAGATCAAAGCGGCGCTTGTTTACTGAAGTCTAATGTGACAGAGGGCCAGACATGTTTTTCTATTCACTGGGACACTTTCCTGTATAGGCTGATAGTTTGTCCATTGGCGAAGTTTATATTACAACCAATTTGCTCCTTTCTGAGTTGTTGGTTTGTTGCACGTCTTATTTTACTAATTTATTAGTTTGTGCATTGTGTTATTATAAAACCTAATTTGCATTTTATAGCTGCGGCTGAAAACAGTCAGGATGTAATATGGTAATTATGGAACAGGAAGAGGAGAGGCAAAAACCAACACTACACTTCTCCAAATTGAAATAGTAATACATTAATCCTAATTAAAATTCCTGTGAGAATAGCAACATTTCAAAACAGCTCCTTCTTGTCTCCTCGTCTCTTTATTTTATTCCTCTCTCTGAATCCTAAATTACTTGCCATCCTGAGCGTGATACTTAACATTGATTTTACTCTCCAGGGTCTGAGAAAAGATTTTTCTTTCCTTTCATTCTCTGACTTCTCTCCCGTCTGAAACTTTTTTAATTTTTTTATTTTCTTTGTTGATCGGTTGTCTTAGCATGCCAGACTTCCTGCTTAACCTGCAGTGAGCTTTTGGGCATAAACAAGGAGGGTTTCCGTTCAAGTCAGAACGGCTGGAACTGATCTGTTTACTTTTGACAGATCCAAAATGGCTCCTCTTATTGCAGCCCTCTCTTTATCTGCGTCTCCCTGTCTCTCTGTTTGTCTCTCTCATAGTGGTTATGAATTTGATTACGAGTACTACAGGGATGATTTCTACAGCAGGTATGTATCAGTCATATTGTTATCAAATTCAGGCTTTAACAAGGAAACAACTGACCCTGAGCTAAGCCCCATCCTCCTTAATTACTGCCCGTCAGGCTTTGCATTCCCAGGCGTCACATAATGCAGTTTATGTTGCAGGTTTATCATTTAAAAGTCACTGGCAGATGTTATCAGCTGTAGCTAGCTAGCTAATTAAGCTAACACCTGTGAGTTGGTTGAAAACACTGTGTCTGACTTTTAACTGTTTTCAGCTTACTTTACTTTTTCTTTTTAAAAAAAGGCAATAATGATAAATAAGGGGTTTTTAAATATGAACCCGACGGCTACACACATGGTTTTGTGTGAAAAGACAAGCTAATGCTAAAGCTGCATGTCCATGTAGAAGACAGTGAAGTAAAGAAACAGCATTGTCTTATTGCAATACACAGCTAGTTGGTGCTAGTGTTAGTTAGTGAAGTATAATCTAAGTTTATACACATGTTATATTACACATGTTTTTTTTTTTAATGCAGCTTGTACTCACAATCTAACCTAACCTTGGCGGCTGCTATAGTATGATTAGCCAGACATGCTAACTAACGCGTCTTAGATAAATTACAGTTAAATCCAGTCCGTCTTCTTTATGCTTTTGCTGACATGTTTCTGGTTTTGGAAAGGCTTTAAATTCAGAGTTTCACGCTAACTACAGCCATGTACGGTGCGTCAACATCTGGAGGAATCCAACGCTTGACAGGCCTGCCATGTCTGGTTATGATTACTAAGCTATGATTGGACAAAACCTAATTGGATAAAGGGGTTCAGTGAACGGTCAGTAGATTTTCCTCTTAAGACTTTGACTGACTCTTCCTTATTAAAAGTCTCCCCCTGTCAGATATGATTCCGTTACTTTCCCACAGAGGCACCTTCAAATAGTCAACTTGTCAAAATGGCTGAACACGCCGAGCAGGCAACTCGAGCACGGCGATGTGAGGGACACTTGTTGTCTCTCTCTCATTCATCTGCCAGTGATCAGAGTGATTATCTGCCGAGGCATTTTCTAAATGTCAAACATTGTTGAGAGCAGTGACAAGACGTCCGCTGTCACAGCTGAAGCTTGACACCTTCATTTGACATTTAGCACCTTCTTCTTTTCATCCTCTTCACTTTCACAAAAAATGGATAGAAAGGGATGCGTGTTGGGATTATTTTCACGCATGTAACGGCCCAGATAGTTGTACAGAAAGATGCGTATTGGTAGAGCTGAGCTGTAATGTCTACCTTTTGTTTTATGTATGCTGTTCGAGAGAAAGAACCCAAGAGGAATCCATAGAAAATCCATCTTGAAATACAATACTGGGAACAGATAACAGGCTTTAGAAAGAGGTCATGCTGGAGTAAACAGAAAAAAGAACTTTAGTTCTTATAGATGGACATTTTCTGAATGCTATAAAAAGGACTTTTATTAAAAAAAGACTGTGAGTGTAAGAGGTGAGGTGTAATACAGGTTTTTTCTTTTTCTTGAGGCTTTTTGACTACCATGGCAGAGTGGCCCCCCCACCAAGAGCCGTGATCCCCCTCAAACGCTCCAGGGTGCTCGCTCCCTCCTCCCGCCGCGGGAAGACCTCCTTCCCCATCAAGACATCTTCCTCTTCCTCCTCTTCATCATCCAGACCTCCCACATCATCCTCCTCCTCCGGGCTCAAACGTACGTACAATAAGGTGCTTTTTTATTACTCGTCTTGTGGTTTAACCTCGGCTGTAGTTGGATTTTTTGTATTTATTTAACTTTTTTATTTTTCTGGAAAGAACACAGTCTAATTACGCTAATGGTATTCTGTCCTTTTCACACACAAAAAAAAACAAAAAAAAACTGAAGGCTTAATGCAAATCTCAAAACCGTAGCGCTCTGAGAGAAAAGGTGGCGGCGTGATTCAGCTGTGCTACTTAATGCGGTGCCACTGTAAAAAAAAAAAATAAAAAAGAAGCTATTTAATTCACTCCAGCAGCTCAGAACAAGTCACACTGCAAATGTAGAGCAAAACACTAAAACGCACAAACACAAATATGATCCGAGCAGCACCCGTTCAGCACACGGCTCTGTTCCCGTCACCCAGGATGCATCTGGATCTCATTTTAGTTCTTCTGATTAACTGGTGATGCATTATAAAAAACATCCTAAATGTAATTAATGTGAGATTGGGGGCATCTCTATGGAGCTGTGGTCAGCTGTGTTTTCCTAAACGTTAGTTTTCTATCCGTAGCCTGTGTAATTGGCTGCAGTGTTTGTTCATTGTTGTCTGTCTAGGCCGGTGTTATCAGCGCGAGCAGCTTGGTAAGGTCTGTCAGGAGGACCCAGTTGCAGTTGGTATTATAGAGAAGGGGAAAAAAATAAAAAAAAACAAGCCCCATCTCCCATCCTCTTTTTGGACAGAGTCAATGAATTCTCTCTCCTCTGTCTAAGCAGCGCTGCTGTATGTTTGGGAGACTAATTTGCCCCTGCCAGGACCGTGAAAAATCACTGTTTGTATCGACTGTGGCCGAGATAGATTGGACAGCAAAATAAGGTTAGCTTGCCCAAACAGCAGTGTGGGTCAGTGTGGGCAGTTTGAACCACTTGTGCTGTGTACGAGTAATAACTCACCTGAGCGGAAGAAAAAGAAGCAGACGTCAGATGTGTGGATCTCGAGGATGGATTCACGTTAAAAACGCCTCTTTGACACGATATTCACCGTCACTTTACGAAAACAGACTCTGACTTTTGGCCTGTTTTGTCATTTAAAGAAACACTGAGGGTAAAATTTAAATTTAATATTTCACCACAAGGTCCATTTAGTAGCAGCTTTTTTTCCAGAGTTCTTGATCATATTGCATGATTTTCATCAGTTTTCTCATGTAGATGTTCAAAATTTGCATTTATTCTCCGAGCACTTTAAGAGCGTCTCCCTCGAGTTGGCTTAAAAGCTGGGGTTCAAATTCAAATCAGACTAAATACACCCAGGGGTGAGATTGTTTTTCTCACTTGCTGAAAGGTTAGGAATGAACTTTGAACCTTTAAAAAGACTTCTCATTTGCAATCTCCTTTCCCGAACCACTTTCGCCCTCAGTGGGAAACGTCATGAGGTCGAGGAAGGATGTGAAGTCACAATGCTCAAGAATTTGACCAGCTCTTATCACGGCTGCCACTCGGCCACTTCCAGGTCGTATCACTCAGAGAGGAATCTTCCAGAGCAAAGAACGCCCGCCGCCGTGGTCTCTTCTGAAAGGTTACCCCTTAGGAGTTTATTCCTAAAAAAAAGTCACTAATTGTTAAACTTGAGTTTACAGACGCAACAGCACAGTAAAAGTAGAAGATTCACGTTGTCACAGCGATATTGGCATCTTAAAGAAAACGGTTCATACAGACACTGTTGAAGCTCGTCCGGGGAAACACAACAACGCAGAACTCAGAGGGAGAGAAGGAAAGTTCGAACCGAAAGGGAATTCATTAACAGCTTGGTTGTGATAGTGTGTGTAGCCCCGCCCTCCTGCACACCTGTCTCCACTCCTGCAATTAAACACACACCAGACAGGGACAAAGGGGGGGGGGGGGGCACATACATTAACTTGATACGTTTTGCAATAACTGGAAGTGTGAAGTCGTTTGCCACAGGCAGTTTTATCGATTTCTTTCAAATATTTTATTGAATTTAATAGTACATAAAAAAGCTGTTTATAATGAGGCATCTACTGAAAGATGAAAAACACTATTTTCCAGATAAAGCATCAAACATGGAAAAAAAAGTATTAAAGAAATGGTACAACGTCCCTGAACCCCCCCCCCCAAGTGTTAACATCTCCAAGCTGGTTCCAACATCTATTTATAGTCTGAATTACATCAGCATCCTCGGCTCCAAAACTCTTTGTCCGGTTTAATCTTCATACACCAGTGATTCAAGAGATCCTCACTATCCCCAAGACACAAGTTCTGCAGTACATCGTGAAGTCCTAAAATTAGATCCATTTCTCATCCCCTAAATCTTCCCTAATGCTTATTAAATAACAATGGCATTTTTTTATTTTTTTATTTTTTGTATTCTTCCCCCTTCTTTTCCTTTAACCCGAGCTATCTGAAAGATGCCGTGTTGATGAAACGATGTTGGATTAGGACGTGGATGTTTTTCTCTCAGCGGCTTATGTGACTGATAGCACAAAAGGAAAAAAAGGCCTGGAGGCGGCGATAAATTAGAAACTGTTCCGCACTTTCTTATCATCAAAGGACGACTAGTAAGCTGCCCACAGCGAGCCCAGATAATGTTCGAATTAGGACGTGAGTGCACACGGGGTGCGCATTCATGCGTGTTGGTTTGTACACATGGAGGCAGGTGATACGGAGAGAGATGGGAAGACACTTCAGTGCGTGGAGATATCATTGTACATCCACAGTTTTCTCCTTCCCAGAAAGGTCGATTTTCTGCCTCTCTGTAGCTTCGGGGTTTTGGCGGCTTGCTTTCAAAAAAAAAAAAAACAACAACGCCAGACTCGTTTTTTGGGTATTGCCACACACATGTATTACATATGTATCGCCTTCAGTGCGGCGTTGTAAAACACTTTTTTTCACGCTTTTCTCATGTACGCATTAATCACCCTGCTCCGTTTTCAAGAAGTAATGCACTGACAAATAGCGTGGAGCGTGCGTTGGATCCTACCTGCTGTTTTGTTTTATTTCTGCATGAATTCTGGGGGGAAAGATTAAAACGTCCTTTACAGCCGTTTAATATGTCATACGTTCTTATCATGCTCTGACATCTCCTCCAACTGTAGGTGTTTATGTTTTATGCATTAGTTTATCTCATACATAGTAGCACGCCAGACATAGGAGGGGCTCTGCATTGTGATGCGGTGTGGGCGTAAGCATACATCAAACGACACTTAACTTAAAGAGCCGCATGCAGACATGAAACCGGACGAGTGATGTTTTGATTCCGTGCGTTCTCTCCTGCCTCTGATTTTTTTTTTTTTTTTTCCGCGTGAAGCCTTACAGGAAGTCGTGGGTTTGTTTACCGAGCGCTCATCCATCCCACTTTCCAGCCCTGACAGAATCTGATAGGTGTCAAAGAGAATTTTATGTTCTCTTCTCAACTTCTGGTGTCAGTTCATTTTATTTATTTATTTATTTTACCCCCCTTCCTCTCAAAATAAAAAAATAAAAAATAAAAAAAAAGAAATGACACATTTCAGCTGCTGAGGGTAAAGGAATGAGATTATCTTATTACTTTCTGGTCTAAATTCTTTAATCTGCTCAGTTCAAGATGCTAAGGAGCGCACCCTCTTTTCAGCAAACCGTGAGACTGGCGAGATTAAATTAATGGTGACGTCCTTCAGATAAATATATATATTTCATTTTTTATGTTCAGCAGATGTTATTTGCATATGACATATCAAGGTTAGGACTCAAACTTTGACATGATACGGCTACGCTTCATTTACCCAAAACCTCGGATATGTATTGTAGAGTGAAAACACCGAGAGCAGAGCGGAGCAGGAAGGGGGAGAGCAATTATTCATGAGGCGGTAAACAGAAGCTGTGGGAGGGCAAATTGTGCCCCCTGTTTCTCATGCGGCACTGTCAGTGAGGCAATGAGCAGGCGATGTTGCTTTTTAGATATGAAAATGGGAATCGAAAATACATTGTGAAACTAAACTGGGTTTAAAAATGAAGTGATATCAAACAGAGGTGTTGATCATCAAAATTTAATTTCAGCCTGAACTAAAACAGTTTTAAATTGATATTACACATGCCGTTGGTTACTTATATTTTCATTTGCAAAATGACCTTTAGCGAGGTTTGTGCAAAAAAAAAAGAAGAGGAAAATAGAAGTACATGGATATTTCAAATAGTGAATGAGCTGCTATTCATCTACAATTCAATCCTCTCCGCTCGCACAGATACACAGGAATTTCAGATCTTTTCAATGCTTTTGTATCAGGTTTTAATACTTTCCCTGAAAAGAACTGCTATAATCTATAATCTATAATAAAAAAGGGTGGAAAAATATTAAACCCAATGAAAATGTTCATGTTTTTAACCGTGTGCTTGCCCTGTTTACATGTATATATGATCAGCTGACTTGCAGTTCACTGAACGATCGTGCTACCAGTTCGTCAGATTTGCTTAAGGAATGTGCACCAGTTGTTCGCCGTCCCAATTTGCAGCTCTCCTCCGTTGGGAACAGTCAAACGTTGAGCAGTGTTTATATAATAATATAATTTTGCTTTATATAAACATCTCATGGCGACTGAAAGATATTGGCACAGCTGAGCAAAACTTGAGCAGCACAGCACACAGTGGTGGGCGTAAAGCCGTGCACTAATCTTCAAATTGAAAGCAGCAGGTCCACAGTTTCAGCTGGGTAACTTTGCAGTTGGCCAGATTGAGATGTTCTTCCCCGAGGAAAGTGTGAGTCAGAGATATGATTTGATATCCAAAACTAAAAACTAAAAAGAGTATTAACAGATGACAGCGTGCAGTCTGTGATAAACTGCATGAAGCGGCGTCGTTACAGCGAGGATGCAAAATGAACTTGGGGCAAACTGAACTGTATCTTAAATGGAGTCGTCTGCTTGTGTGTTTCTGTGCCTCAGCAGTGAAGACGGACCAGCTTCAGACCATCAAACGGGAGCTGACTCAGATCAAGATGAAGATCGACTCTTTGCTGGGACGCCTGGAGAAGATTGAGAAGCAGCAGAGAGTCGAGTCTGGTGAGGGGCAAGCCGGGAGGGGGGGGGGCACACCGAGCGCCGAGGGAGGGAAATTAAGAGCACACACTGGCCATAAGTCTTAGTGACATTGCGGGAGATAAGAGCAGCAGAGCTCTCCGTCATAACAGCAAACAGGTGTCAACGCCGCGCTGACTCAGTTTATATGAGGAGGTCTTTATAAATGCTCCCACAGTCTCCGAGTCGCTGCGAAGGTCAGGAAGACTTTGTGCCGCAAAGTGCATCTTTACAATCTCTCAACAAGCACATTCGCACTGCTTCATTCAAATTCAAGAGCATTTCCTTTCCTTTAACTCTGGAGGGGGAAAAAAAATAAATAAAAATGAATACTAGTTTCCAGGTTTTTGGTAAATAGAAAGTCTAATCTTGTTTGTCTCGGAGATGACACAGAGATTGATGATATCTCTTCCACTCTGCAGGACAATGCGGTAGCCTATGCACGATCAACAACATTACGTGGTGTCTAAAAATGAAAAACCATACATCAGAAAACGTTGGCAGTATATTGTCAAATTTGCCCAATTGCCTTCAAACTAAGCCTGAAGCTGTTCTCCCTTTTCATGATATCAAATTATAATCAAAACAAGACGATTATTCTGATGTTTCTAGTATAAAAAAACAAAAACAAAACAAAAATAATGAGCCATAATGAATGAAATTTAAGGACTGAGACTTGATAGCAGCATGCAGTTAAAATTCAATTTAAGCCCTGACGGTGTTCAGACGAAACACAAAGTGAATTTTAGTGGTGGAGCTGCGATTTTGCTGCTTCATTCTCTCATGTGTCCCGGGTCTTCATGGATCTGTTTTGTAAATGAGAGAGAGAGAGAGAGAAAAAAGCAAAAGAAAAAAAAGGTGGGGAAACTGGAAGGTCAGTGACGGAGAGTTTCTAATGGAGTTGAACACAACAAAAACACAGGCACACTCCTACAAGGCACAGTAGCTTTTAGCTAATGTACAACCGGTACATTTGCATGTTTCGGTCCAGTGGTCAAATTTGCCTGAATCGTGCTGGGAGAGAATTTGCCTCGTTTTCTGTCTGAACACACCTCAGCGGTTTCTTCTAAGTGCCGTTTTATCCCCCTCAATTTAGCACTGAGTGGAATTCCAGAGGTATTTAGCCACGCTTAGCATGGAGTGGTAACACCTTGTCTACACCAGTCGCGCTGAAAAACTGGCAACACGGCAGCAACTGCCAGTGTGTCTGCTCTGGCGTCACATCATCATGTACTTACTTGGGTTAAATTGAAAGTAAAAAAAAACGAGACGCGTCGGGGTTGTGTTCAGTCTCGTGATGCACGACTGAAACTCAAAAGATCTTGCAGCAGGTGTGGACGGATGCATCAGTCGAAACGGAGGTGCAAGTTTTCAGTAAGACATGAAAAATGCATCAGGTGTAGACGGAGTGTGCAGACGGACAGCGGCGGCAGTTGTTGATGTCAAACTACTTGTGTCCAGTTGAGCGTGAGGAGCGGCACCACGGCCTCCAGGGACCGCAAGTGACCGAGTACTTATGTCTCTGCTGGTAAAAACAGAAAATGGCGGCCAAGTAAAACTTTGCTGCTACCATGACTTCACTCTGTGTGTGTGTGTGTGCTCCTCTCTCGCTCAGAGGCGCAGAGAAAGTACGATGACAACTGCGACTCCCTGCATGAGGAGTCTGTGTCCGAGACGGCAGAAAACTCTGGGGAGGAGGCCGGCGAGGGGGCGCTGGACGTGGAGGCGGGAGAGATGACCGATGGAGGTGAGGACGACTACGACGAGGAGGGCGGCCACCATCTGGTAAGAGAAAACGGTTGACAGGGCTGACGGGGGAGGGAGAGAGCGAGGCGCTCTGGGAGCTCTCGAGCGGCCAGACGGCCTCTGGTTTCTGAAAGTTAATTTTCCAGAATTATTCATGGCCACAGATCTGAGGGAGCGGGGCTTCACTTGAGTGAATGGTGAGGGCGCCCGGACTGACAGTTTCTCCCTGTCGACCCCGGCTCAAACGGTGGAAGCACGGCTCTTCACAAGCCCACACACTGGCACACTCACACACTTACACACCTACACACTTAACAGGCTGTACAGTAATTAAAGCAGCGGGACAGACACATAGGGAAAAGGTTGAAGCCCAGACCCGTACGGACTGGTGTGGATCCTACCATGAAGAACAGGAAAGAGGAGGTTGTATTTCACTTTCACAAAGTCATTCTTTGAAATAAAAAAAACACACACATGCTTTTTTACAAATCCCAAGAGCCCGATGTGACATCTACAAATTACTGATTTCATCCGACTGATCGTCTAAAACTCAAAAGATGTCAGTGTTAAATGACGACAACCTGGAACCAGCGAATGTCTCACATCTTTACTTACTTTCTAAAATGTTTCTGACATTCAATTAAATGAATAACCAACTAATTGTAGATGAATTGGTGTTGTCACATTGCGCTCAGGGTTGTTGATTTGAATAGCTTTTGACCAATGACTTAAAAAGGAGCTATTGCTACGTAGCTAACATTAGCATTAACGACTGTTTTCGTAGCCCCCTGCTAAATAATATCTTTGTATTATAGTTTAATTCACCCACATTTTCTTATAATAATACAAACAACTGACTCATACACAGTTTAATGAAAGAAAACTGCAACTAATTTATTTTTTATTGTTATCGGAATAATGTGTTTGTGATGATTTTCTTGACTAATCGATCAATCGTTTGGCCAGCGGTCCAAAACCTATAGATAGTCATACTATAATTCAGTACGCACACACACACACAGTATGACCAAGAAAAACAGTGGCTGAGAAGCTGAAACTAATCAATGTATTTCAGCTTTCTTCAAACAGTAGCACACACACTAAAGCTCAGATGAGTTTGTATCCAATCAGCCACAATCAGTTGATCTCAGTCAGCTGTGGCTTTAGACCCAGACACGTATTTCATCAGCACTTCTCAAAAATGCATTTTACTGACAGAGGTCTAGACACAGTAGAAATGGACAAGAAGAAGAAGCAGAAGAAGAAGAAGAAGAAGAGGAGGGAGGAGACTGGGGTCTGATGAAAGCTAAAAATACCACGTTGGCATTGTCTCTCTTTGAACAATGTGCTTTTCTTCCGCTTTGTGCTGCGAGTGCTGTAATATGTATGTCAGTGTAAGAATTTAAACTAAAAGAAACCCTAATTGCCGTCTTCTTTACACTGTTATCTTCATGCTGGGAGCTTTAAAAAACACCCACAGTGCCAAATTATACAGCGGTTAAAACGTATTACCCATATTTTTTCAACAGTATTAATTAAACCATAGAACCACTCCGTTTTTATTTTACATCTCACAGTTCTTCAAGTTCAGGCGGCGCCATCACAGTAATTATCCTCGGTTTCATCGGGCTTGAGCTCTGCACTGTGGCCACGCTTTTGACCGGGCTTTCTCTATTATGCTATATTTATTATCCATTAACCAGGTGAGCATGGGCACGCCATCCTTGATGAAAGCTTTCTGTCCCTCGCTAATCGAAGAGATTATTTTTCACAGACATGGTGGAGGAGATTTATTTGTTCCCTGAAGGTCACATTGATCACCGGCTGTGTTAATGTACCACACAAAGAAATGTTCCACAGGTTGGCGTCGCGGCTTTTGTGTAGGGTAGCGACCTTTTTGAAAAGATTAAATACAATGAGTGCGCTCAGTTCTAAATGCTATCGTTGGTTTCAACATCCTCTCTCTGCTCTCCTTTTTCCAGATAGAGAACCATGTATCGGATATTGACAACTGAGATCAGGTAAGAGCTCAAATCCGAGTGTCCATTACAGCATCTGCGAGGTTGTTCTACAATACCGCTAAAGGTCCGGGAGGCTCTCACAGCCAGTGCTCATTAAAAGGCCTTACATCTGGTCCTCATTAAAAGCCATAACCACTGAGCTGTGTCTTGAGCATCTCTAAACATTCGTTAATCATCTCATAAGACATAAGCTCCATGACATTTGGAAGCCCAGCTCCACTGAAGGGCAGCTAATGCCGAATTCGACAGAGGGAGCAATAATGGCATTCCAATGGGCCAGAACTGCCCATAAACAACATTCATCTAATTGAATTGTGTGTGTGTGTGTGTGGTGGGGGGGGGGGGGGGGGTATGAATGGCGAAGGCCTAAGGTAAAGAGTTTCCTGCCTCTCGCCTCTCAGGGTGTGGGTAATGATGCAGCCACATCATCAGTTGGCCCAGCGCCGGCTGGCTTTTCATAGCAGGGGTGCTTGATTTCTTTTTTGCTGCTGGATTAGTAATGAAAATCTCCGTTCATTAGAGACTGTAAATAGCATGTTCTGGCACCGAATTTTATTTTGCTGCTTCTTTTTTCTTTTTTCTTTTTTTTTTTTAAAGCTTTAGTCACAGTCTTTTGAGGTCATTTAATAGTTGGTAAAGACACTTCCGTCTGTTTTAATTAAGTGAAATTTAAGGCTGTGTCTGAAATCAGTCTCTGTCAGGGTTGCCACCTCTGGGGAAACTGAAGTTTTATTTTGAGACACGCCAGTCGGCAGGGATTTGAACCAGATGCTAGGTAATAAGTTAAACAATCGTACTTCTACTACCAATCAAAAGCATAGACATCACTACTGTTGTACCCGTTTTTCCATACGTTTACAGACACAATGATTGGATGTAACCAGGAAGAAAACAGTAGCAGTAGAAGGAAACAAATGAGGTTTTATTTGAAATTATGAAATTTTAAATTGGAAGTCTTCATCTTCACAAAAACCTGGGACAATATCCGGGACAGTCGCTGCAAAAAACAAAAAGGAGAACAAGCCTGGGAAAACGAGGACAGGTGGCAACCCTACTCCCTATAGAAGAGACACCAGTTTATCAGTAAATTGAGATTTCTTACACTTAATAAAAATCATTTTCATTTTAGTATGCAATTTTGACATCTATAAAATGCATCAGAAGGGAGAGTACTTGCCAGGGACGCTACTTATTTTTCCTTCCACTGTGGAGATTTTTGAAGGCACTATATAGTGTGTGTGTGAATTTCACACAGAATTTGGAAAACTGAAATAAAAAATGGTGGATGGTGAATACAGTAGCCTTAGTCTCATTCACTCATTTTGAATTTCTAAGTTAGTGCAGAAAGGCACAAGTTGTTAGCCTAATTAGTTCCAGTGCGTAACTCCCCGTAAACTCTGATCTTTATAAAAGAGTTTCTTTTTGTGTGTGTGGATTAATCAAACAACATATAACGTGTTAATGTGTGAGCTTTAGCAATGCTGCTTTTACTTTGGGCAGAGCCAGGCTAGCTGGTTTGCCTCCACTTCCAATCGCTTTTCTAAGCTAAGCTAATCGCCATTAACGTTACCCCCGCAGCTCTTGGTAACGTTCTGTTAGCATTAGCTTGCGTTTTCAGAAATGTTAGCATGCTAGCCTCCATGTTTTCATGGTTTGTCCGAGCTGTTGCCTTTACTTGTTTAATCTGATTGTTGAGTTAATCGATTGATTTGTGCATTCATCCATCTTCCAGAGTTTTAGAGTCTCATTTTTATCATGTAAAAAAGTTTAGGTAGCAAAAACGCCCCAAGCTAACGCCCCAAGCGAACACCACACTGTGGTCGTCCAGGCGCCTGCTGTCCCAGTTCTCTCCACCTCTTATGAAACCACATGTTACACTTCAGTTTTCCCATTTCCATATGTCTGCCTTTTTAAAATTCTATCAGTAGCAGATTCACAAAAAAAAAAAAACTCCTCAGCACATACATTTAAAAACCTGAAAATCCCTCTCGAGGTCGTAGAGAATATATGAATGTTTTGCTCGCAGGCCTACCAAGGATAGAAAATCACATCGAGGGGAACCTCAATAAGTCATGACCAGAAGGATTAGAGAAGCAGCTCTGTCTACCAGCAAATATTTCTGCACTTCCCAAGATATTTCTGGGGCCATTCAAAAAACGGACAAGCTTTAAAACTCGGCTTAATCCTCATCAGATTTACAGCTTTATAAAACAGCCACCATGTTTGAGGAGGAGAACACAGTCCTATAATGTGTTTTCATCTGGGTTTTTCTTGTTTATCACTTCAGGGTGAGGAAGCAGACACTTCTGCTTAGAATTCATCATCACCTTCAAGAGACAGAAAAGGATCTCTGAGGGATCAAGACAACCATTCTGGACTGTAAGTTGTGTTCAAGAGATGATGAATCGCATTTTTAGATGCCCAACTGTGCAGCACAGACCGAATGTGATTTGCTCTCTAAAGAAAATTGTATTCAAGACCCATTTTAATGCATTGGCCTGAGTTGACCCTCATGGATATTCTGTACAACTTCTATTTCATTGCAAGAGGCTGATATTCCTGTTCTTGAAAAAAAATAAAAATAAAAAACAGATGTGAAGGAAATAAAAAGGGACTTATTCAGATTTATTAATTGAGTTATGTTGCAAGAAGCGAACATGACGTTGTTGATCAATTGTTGCTGCTTTTATGAAGTGTGTTTGCGCTGTAATTTCACAAACTGTTTTTTCAATGAATTTCTGTTGTAGCTTAAAAATCTAAATGAATAAACAGTCAGAACAACCTGCGAGAAAAATGAATGAAACATCGGTGGCGTCTGGTTCGGATTCGACTCATACATAAGCCAATAGCTGTGAGCATGACTTTATCCTGCTTTATCCATTTATCACACAAATGCCCTGTGGGGCTGTTCCATCATATATTCCAACTCCTGCCAAGTTTCAGAAGCAGAAAAGAGCTTCCTGTGGTCGAGAGCCAACACTGGCACAGGCCTCCTGCCAGGGAGCAGTGCCCTAGCGTCTCAATGTGCTCCTCCCTGCTCAGCCTGTGCATCCCAACATGGACTGCTGCTGTTCAGGAGCCAACGCCTTTTCTCCTTCACCATCTCCTCACTCCCTCCCTCCCTCCCTCCCCTGCATTGATTCTGTCTCATGTAGGTGAGGGAGCGAGGCCAGGTTTTTTGGAAATGGTGGAAATGTTCTATTTTGAATTATACATCGAGAGGCTTTGATTTTATCCAAGTACGTGTCTCGCTTAGATTACTGAGCATATATAGAATAATTCGCCTCAAAATCAGCCTAAATAGAGGCAAAATAAAAAACACACAAAAGTCAATATTACAGTCAAATACAAACTGATCGGATTAAGCTGAACTGTCCCCTCATTTGGTGCCGTTTACCAACATTAATGTCCATGATTTCTGCCAGTGCAGGTTTGTCAGTTGCTCTTGCTGCTAACATGCAACAGTTTCATATGCGACTTGAGGTTCAAGCTGAGCAATTATAATTAGCCTGATTATAAATAAATTGCTACAAAGTGAATTATGTCACCGGTGATTGGGTGTCAGCACGTTCTACTGTTAATTATTCACATCACGTTTGCTCCAATCTTTTTTTTTTTATCCCCCGCCGCTAACAGGTTAGGAGGTAGTTGTTGGGAACTCCACAGGTGATATAAACCGCTCAGTAGCATCAGTTTGGCTGGTGATGCATGTGAGCCGATGCTATGCTAACAAGCTTTCAGAGACCCAGAAGTTGTTGACCTGGGGCAACTGCAGTTTAACCCCTTGTGTTCAGTTCTTTGTTGGGCTTCGACATTTGCTACTAAAACCAAATAAAACATATTTAATATGTTTTATTCATTTAGATGGGATCAAACCTGTGTGGTTGTATCCTCAAAAGCTGTGGTTTAACAGCGCTTTTAATGTAAGTTTATATTTGATGTTGCTCATACTGCTGTTGTCGTCGTCAGGAGACAATCTATATTATTATTGTAGGAGCAAAATGTTAGCATAACTAGCTATATATAATAAAACAAAATGAAAACTTAACTAAATTTCCTTAATTAGCATTTTCTAAATGAAAATGTGGCTCAGTCACCTGTGTGAGGTGGACCACATTAGCTAACTTCATGAAACATGCGAGTCAGGCCCAACTTTGCATGTAGCTGCAAGTTAAGGTTTAGCTGGATGCATTAACCAGCAGATAGTCAAATGCTGCAAAGAGAAAAGGCAAGTAGATGGGTTTCCATTCAAATGTCAAACCACATTTTGAGAAATTCTGCAAAAGCAAATCCATCCGCCACTGTCATGCGAATATTAGGAAGACTTCTCCAGGCGGGTGCCATTACAATCATTGCAGAAAAGGAAGGTGCAAGGAGATAAACATCATTAAAAAGGAGCACCTGTCAAACTACAAATGGTAAAAAATAAATAAATGAATAAAAAAAAAAAAAAATGATGTAGAAAAACATGGTGTTTCAGTTTCCTGTACCAATATAAAAAAGCAATGCAACGGCCTCTGCACAGATCTGATGTTTTCATCTGCCGCTATTTTCAGTCTCTTCAGCGGAACGGAAACATTGGTGGACATTTAGGTTACACGCTTCATTTATGTCATGATTTATTTGCTAAATATGTTTCCATTGCAATTTTTTTTTTTTTTTGGGCGATATTTTGAGATTTTTATTTTTATTTTTTTCTTCAAATTTCCAACATTTCCACTCAGGTCTTTGAAAATGTGCATAAAAACATGTGGATGGATGAAACCCACCTAATGTCTAGGCGTGTGACATAATCAGCCTAATTGATGATACTGAGCAGTGGAATATATTAGCTGTGCTGCTTCTTCTTCCTCCTCCTCCTCCTCCTCCTCGGGCTGCTTTTAAAGTGGAAGCATGAACACAAATAGTCCTCTGTCATTATTTGGAGTAATGAAGTCCTGGATTTACGTAAATGGTAAAAAGAAAAACCAACAAGTCCCTCTTAAACCCGAGTTGCGTCTTGTCAAGCAGATAGTTGTGGTTTTACTCCCACGTGTTTTGAGGTATCTGCTCCTGAGACTTGTAGCCACCACTTCAGTCAAGGTAAAAGAAATTTTATCTTTGGTGCTTGTAGAATAAAAAAAAATAAATAAAAAGCTTTGTTTCTTTTTCAGAAACACACACATTGTTCACGATATTTGACCTTGAGTGGTAAAAATGGTTCCCATGAAAAACTGGATTAATAACCCAAATAATGAGTTAGTTTTGGAGTCATGTAATCATCCATTGCTTTTAAAAACACCATAAACATAATCCCATTCTCCGCTTTTTGTGTCGCACAAAAAGCTGTGGGAAATAAAAAACTATATCACCAGGGGTGAGTAAGAAAAACGTTTTTAAATCATTTAAAACAAGGATTTATTAAAATGGCGAAGGGAAAGTCGGCTCGCACAATTTCATGAACACACCAGTCAACCCTGGCAGTCCTGCCTGAAAAAATACATACAAACACAATTAAAATAACGACTGTCCTGCAGCTCATTCAAAATAAGTGTCTGGTGAATGATGATAATGTGTAATATTTAGCACTATTTTTGTATCAGGAAAAAAAATGGCTCTGCTACATGTTTATCTTTTTTGCTGGTAGCCTGTTATTAAATGAACAGTATGGTGATGTGTCAAATACTTTGCAAAAACATAAAAAATAAAAAAAAATCCTCATTGCTTTTAACTGTTGTAATTTATCTGGGTCACTTTAGATCATTTCCGGCTCAACACTCTTAGTTCACCATGTAAATAGTCCTTATCATGTTTTATTTCAAACACCAATAGACTTAAAAAGAGAAATTTTATTAAGTTTAAAATAATATACTGACAGTTTGTTGGAATCGTTGTGGGTTTTAAGCAGAATTGTGGGGCTTGTAGAGATGTGTAACTGACAACTGTTGTATAGAAATGTACATTTTTTTGTAAAGATATTTTTATCAAAAGGCATGTTTACTGTAACTTTGTATTTTCAGTTCATGTATAAAAAAAAAAAAAGTATATTCCAACTGTTGTAAGGCTAGAAAACTCATTGTCGTTGTAGATAACTATTTGTGTTCTTATCAGTCAATAATAAAATGTTTGTGTCATATTAACTAGTCACATGTTTCAATGATCAACACTTTATTTTACAAATAAACATGAACTGAAGGACAAAGAAACCTTTTGACTTTATTATTAAAGTGTTACACATAAAATACAGACGTGATAATTACTCACAGATGGTATGTAAATATTTGGTGCATCATTAAGGCGTGCCACTTAAAAATCCATTCTCTCCTTTCATTACCATGCATCTTCCTCCGATGCGAACCACCAATTTAATCGTGATCTATACAGTTGATTATGCAGCACGTGTGCCACAGTTGTCATTAAAATGACACTTTAACAAGTGTCTGAATACACGTCAAATTAGCGTCAATCAGCAGAAAACTGGACACCATAACGGCAGCTTGTCATCTTGTGTTTCACTAATGGCACCAGTCACACCGGCTGCCAAGTAAACATCACTGTGTTCCCTCAACTGGGAGCTTTCTCCAAAATACCACATGACAGTTTAGCAGCATGTCGACCAGTGGCAGAACATTTTAACTCTTGAGTGTCTTTGTTTCTGACCTTGAGTCCAGAACCCATTGTAAAGAGATTTAGGTTGTTATCCGTTATGTTGAATTTAACACAAATACTGCATTTTTTTTTTTTAATCCATCTTAACTGGAACTATACTTTACGCTCCCAGTTTGCAGAATTACATGAAAAATAAATGTATTGACAAGAGCTTCAGCCGTTGTCGCGCTACGTCTTCAGGGCAGATTTGAGGCTACCAGTGACTCGCTATCGGAAAATGACGAGACGGGCCGGTGCTAGCTTGTTAGCGTGCTAACTTCAGTAGAAGAAAAGACATGAGATGAGATGGTAAGTAGACAGCTGTTAATGCTAACGTTAGCTATGTAGCAATAGCAAAACCTACAGATAGCTCACTTAAAATAAGCTTTTCAGGGGCTTTAAGATATCAACTATTTTAAAAAAGTGCCAGATTTTCTGAAAAATGTTGAAAGTAAAAAAACATTTGTTTTTTTTATTCTTAGGACAATATAAGTTTACATTGTTTGGAGATATGTGGTTCTTACAAGGCAGCAATGGGATTTTGAGTAATGTCTCCGTCTTATCAGTTTTGTCAGTCGTATTGACACGCAGCCTTTGTGAAAGGAAAACTTGTCCTCCTTGACAGAGGTATCAGTAATGAACGTTGGAGTTCTATTGATCCACATGGGGAAGTGGTTTCTGGTAGTCAGCGTTCAGGGTCAGCTCCGACACTTAAGTGCAACTGGAGGTGCTTGGGAATCACCGTCATGCTCGAGGACACTTCAGCAGGACATTTAGGGCTTTTAAACCCATGTCCTCTGCTCGAGCAGTCATCTCCAAACTCATTACATTTGCCCTCAGTCAGAGGAACAAACAGTCCAGTTTCCTCCGCTTCGCCTGGGAACGGCTCGACGTGATTTAAAGGCTGATGACGACCCTTTTTAACATTGTGGAGAGGTTGTACTCGCTGCAAAACTCAGCATGCACAATTGGCTGACATTATC